CCCCCCCCCCCCCCCCCCCCGCCCCAATCACGCTCCACCAGAGAACTCTTGGGGAGGCTAACATAAGTGCCACGACAAAGCTCTCAAGGTCAAAGTGACTCAGATATTTCCAGGATGATTCTGACATTTGGAACAGGCTTCACATTAAACAGGCAGAACTAACACAATCGGTTTCAGAGCGAGGCCTGGCGGCAAGGCAGTCCTGGTGAGCTGGTCCTGGGCGCGCTCCTTACGCTCCACTGAGCAGGACCTGCGCATGTCTGAAGGATTTGCATGCTCAGATCTGCAAACACTGCAGAGGTTTGTTCCCAAGACAACATGCACCTCTGGGCTCAGGTGGGCTGAGCAGCATTGGGAGAGAGCCACGGCAGAGGCATTCCTGTTTCTGGGGACACCCTGCCCCTTCCCCACACCATGCTGTCACCCTGGCCTGGCCCTCTGGGAGCCGGGGCAGCACCACTCTGCAGGCAACCCTGCCAGCGCTGCCCACCTTCAGCAGAAAGCTGTGTCCCGTGTCTTGGCTGGGAGCAGCTCCAGGGCCCTGTGGACCGACAGCGACGCTCAGGTTCAGTCTGGTGGTAGTGCACACAGCTGTTTCCATAGGCCTAGGCCAAACGTGGTCACGCAGTGTAGAATTTCCCTCCTAAGTGAGTTTTAAATGAAAACTTCAAGTTTCTAAATCAAACACAAATTCACTTCCCTAGGAATGAGACACACATCCCTTACAGCTCAGAACAATGACAGAGCCCGGGAACGCTGACCTCCCACTTGCCTCAGACACGCCAGGTGCCTCATAAAGCGGAGCATACCCCAGAGGCTCCCAGAAGAATCGGGGCCGGGTGGCGAAAATGTACAGGTGACTCTCTTACTCTGGTTTATTCCATCCTGGTTCTCATTCCTGTCCCTCCCCCACCACTTCCGTCTTATTCAAGAGCTCTTCTCCCTCCTCCCAACCTTCAAGCTCTGTTCCCCCAGAGCAGGCTTTAGACTATCCTCTTCCTGTACTACCGACTTCCTTAGGTCACCATGGCCCATGCTCAGGCTTCTGATATATCCTCATCACCCCCAAGTCAAACCCAGCCCAGGCCACTCTTCCAAGCTACCCACATGTCCAGCTACCTGCCAGAATGTCCACGTGACAACAGAAGTGCCCAAATGACCACTTTATCAACCATCTCCCACAACTTGCTTCTCCCCGCATATTCCCTATCTTGTCACCAGATCTAATACAGAGAAATAACCATCGACTCCTCTGTTGCCATTCTCATATCCCATTAATACTAAGTGCCTTTGATTCTACAGGTCTTTAGGTCCATGCCGGTCAATGGCTAGAAGTGGTGGCGAAGTGTGTGTGTGTGTGTGTGTGTGTGTGTTTGTGCGGGCACATGCAATGTAAACTTGGATGGAAAAAAGATTACATCTTTATTTTTGCTAACCTATAACCATAATTTAGTATTTCCTTCAATTATGAATATAGGCAACAAACCACAGTAGTATTAGTAATACCTATATTTTGTCACCTATAAAATTTTCAAATGACGATAAACTCATTGTAGATAACAGAAAGTAACTTATACTCATTAGTACAAATTTACCATAGTAATTTTGACTGCTATTGTATCTCATTATGTAATGTGTTAATAAAGATGTACATATGATATATATATCACATATTCGTTTTAAGCTATTTTGATAACTACAATATAACTTCTTTGTAATCTCATACATTTATTTTATGCACGCAATAATATTATTCAAAGAAGGGGACCATACACAAGAGCCAAAGAGACCCATGGCACAGTAAAGGCTTGGAAGCTAAGCTCTCGTGGCTTCCCCGTCCACCCACTAGGGTACATGTATTGACTGCTCACCAGGTATCACCCACTGTGCCAGGCCCTAGGGATACTGAAATGAGTAAACACAGCTCCTTCCCTCAAGGTGGGCGAGAGGGGAAGGCAGACCACTTAAATACTGTGTGATGAATGCAACACCAGAACTTGACAGAGGGAGCCATGGGGGCCAAGGGAGGGACATCTAACCAAAACCAGAGCCCGGGGAAGGCCTCTTGGAGATGACAATGGAGCCAAGTCTTAAAGGACAGGTCGGGCTTAGTCAGGTGAAGAAAGAACACAACCACCATGTCACAGGCCACAAGTAAACTCTCTGGAAACAACTGTGGGTCTGAAATACTTGCTTCAGGAAAGGGAAGTAACTTCATGTAATGTTGAAGCACTGCAAGTAGGAGGTTTGATACTGTATATCAAGTCTCAAGACCCAGACAGGAAGGAAGGAAGGAAGGAAGGAAGGAAGGAAGGAAGGAGTGAAGGAAGATAGGAAGGGAGAGAGGGAGGGAGAAAGGAAGACAACCAGCCCAGTAGAGTTAAAAGGCCAATTTTTCTCAAGACGACAAAAAGTTCTCTTCATGTGGACAATGAAAGCCCAGAGGCAGAAATCTGAACTTGGAACCAAAGCCTACTGATGTTCTGATAGTTTTGTGGTGGGGCTGCAGGGACTCAAAAGCCATCCACACGATGCAGTAGAGAGACTATTTTTAGGCAAACTTTCCTGGGACTTCCTGACAGGCAGAAATCTGAACTTGGAACCAAAGCCTACTGATGGTCTGATAGTTTTGTGGTGGGGCTGCAGCACGATGCAGTAGAGAGACTATTTTTAGGCGAACTTTCCTGGGACTTCCTGATGGAATGGCACAAGGATGTATTTTTCAGAATGATGTTGAACACAGAATAACTGAGATATAGTGAATGATTTTTGCAACAAAATGTGTGGCTCCAAGCCTTCCCACTGGGCAGTCCTAGGCAGGTGTGAGGTTTCCGAATGGTCACGTTTGGGCTGCGGTGGGATAGAGCATCCTGAGTGGAACACCTAGACTAGGGACCTGTCTAGTCCTGGGAAGTGGTTCTCAGTGTGACTCACTGTCAAGGTGGTTGGGAAGGCGGAGTCAATGCCCACTATCTTCCTAGAACTATAGGCCCTTTTGCGTTTCCTTGTTTTCTCAAGCAGATGGGGACGTGAGCCGACTCCACTTTCCCCAGTATTCAGTTACAGCATGCTTCCTCTCTTTTTCGTTACAGAAACAAAAAGTTCCTGTTTCTGTACCTTGTTTCACTTAGGAATTGGAACTTCGCTGTTACAAAGGCTAATCAATGAATTGCGAGGTAGTTTTGCCCCATTAAACAAACCAATGCCCGGCTTCCCCAAATTCCACCAGTACATTTAACGCTATCTTAAAACCAAAACAAAGCCAGTACCGTAGCTGGGAAAGTTTATTTCGTGACTGACTGTTAATGCTGACCTTGAAACGCCTGCCATCTAGCATTCTATCCCCATGTTTCTCCCATGAAAAGTTTCAGTAAACTTACAGTCCTGACACGCAGTTACCACGAGCAGGCCTCTATCTGGGAATGATTACGCCTGCATATGGATTTAACTTAGGGCAGGAATAAGTTAGCACCTGCCTTTGACCTCTTTCTGAGCACAGCATACAAAGGGAATCCAGGAACGATGAGTATTTTACAGCAGCTGGCTCCCACAGGTGGCAGGATGGGCTTGGACTCATGAGGGTCGAGTCAGTCAGCAAGTGTGAGATTTGGAAGCGAGCATCTGCCAGTCTTATTATTAACTGGGAGTTGAGTTGTTTTTATGAACTTCCAGCCTTGAGAACTTAAATGCATTTCTGAAACAAATTCATTTATAATTTAATGGCAAAACAAAATCCTGTTTTTCTTGTAGTTTCACATCCTTCAACGGCTGAAAACAAGTTGAAAGCCCTGGAGACAGGTCTTTCTGAGGCCCCAACCTCCCCGTTCAGCTTGTGGGGGTTTCCTTCTGGATCAGAAATTTCAATCTCTACGCAACTGCTATTCGAGAAATATGATGACCACCATGGCCAAAGACAAACACAAACTGGCATTTCAAAAGTCCTCTCTGGGTGATGCTATTACAGATCAATATTGTGAAAAATAATTTTTTAAATGTTTTTATTGATTTCAGAGACAGGAAGGCAGAGGGAGAGAGAGATAGAAACATCAATGATGAGAGAGAATCATTGATTGGCTGCCTCTTGCACACCCCCTACTGGGGATCAAGTTTGCAATGTGGGCATGTGCCCTGACCAGGAATTGAACCGTGACCTCCTGGTTCATAGGTCGACGCTCAACCACTGAGCCACACTGGCTGGGAGTGAAACTGTTTTTTAAAGAACATATACACTTCTTGCTTTAAGGTAACTGTATTGGGAAGTAATAGAAATGTGAATTAACACTGTAGGCCAGTTTAAGTCAAATGTCTCAAAGTTTATGAAGGGACTGTAAACCCAGTAGGTTTCCCTTGCAGACTGTAGGTTCCTGGGCCTGTAAGATGGCTCTGTACCAGCTCAGCACTAACCCCCAACCTCCAAGTTAGAGAGTCCAATACAAAGATAAAGGCATACGCAGAACTTAAACATTTATAGTAGCTACATTAAAAAAAAAGTATAAAGGAATGGGTAAAATTATTTTCAGTAATATGTTTTACTTAACCCAACAGATCATAAAATACCATTGCAACATGTAATCAATATAAAAATATTGATGAAATATTTTACTTTTTCTGGTACTAAATTTCTGAAATCCAAGGTGAATTTCACAGGCTCGGTGCATCTCAATTCAGACTAGCCACAATAACTACGCATGGATGGGCAGTGCAGCTCTACCCTACTCAGGATGGACAGACAGACAAATGATGCCATGGGAGTACCAGAGCCACCTACAGGCTAGGGTGCTTAGACCTCACAGATTCAGAGGTTGGTGCTTCCAAATGTCTGTGTGAGCTTCTAGTATTTGCTGCAGAAACTCACAAAGGCTCGATGTTTCCATCTTTGCCTTTCTGCACCTGCTTGTATAGGAAACTGGTCTTGGTGTCAGCAGGACACTCCTACTCTAATGCATTGGAGAGTAAGAAAGACAGGCTCACTGAGTCATTGGGTTGTAGTAATGTTAGTTGTCTTCCAATGTTTTACTGACATTTTAACATAACTCATTTACTCTATAAGTATTACTGAGAATCTTCTCAGGACAAGGCCCTAGGGAGGAGTATGGATCCTAAAAATAAACCCAACAAAAATAGTGTCAAAATATATTTAACTGTGCAATCAGCTTCACTTACTTTCTATGCAACATTCAAGGAGAGCATTAATTTTAACTAGACATAGAACTCTATCTGGATCTAACCCTTGAGGCCTTATGGAGATCTGAACCAATTTCAGTCTCTCATCTTCAGTAAGTATTTCTGCCCATTGACTTACTTCCTTGTAGTACTAAAGTGATTACCTTAGGTAAGTGCTCCTTTATGGTTTCGTTGTCTCTCTTCACCACCTGCATCATTTCCTGGCTCCCAAGGTAGGCAACATTAGCTACATTAAAAAAAAAAAAAAAAAAAAAAAGCCAAACACTTAGAACAGACTGGACAAAACAACTGTCAAATTAATTTCAGTAAATTCCCATCCCCCCTCTTCTTTTGGCAAGTGCTCCCTGATGGGACAAGGAGGCTCAGACAGGCGTGTGAGGCAGGCAAGGTGCATGTCTCTGGAAACAAGAGCACGTCTTACAAAAGCACCTGTGCTCACCTCACCTGGCTCTCTCATTAGCCAGTGTTAGCAGGATGATGGCCCAATGTCAGGCACCACAGCAGGTCATGTGTGCAATTGTACCCGATGGATGTTTTTATGATGTAAGGATTACAAGCACAATTTTTTACAGATAAATCATTGGAAGCACACATCTTTACAGATCTTTGACAAAGGTAGCATTTCAGAAGAGCAAAAGATGGGTAGTCTGTGGTAGGCAGAATTCTATGATACAAATATTCCTTGCCCTTCTGTAATCCCCTCCCTTTTGAGTGTGGGTAGAACCTGTGAATATGATGACACTAGAGGCCCGGTACACAAAAATTTGTGCCCTGGGGGGGGGGGGCCTCAGCCCGGCCTGTGCCCTCTCACAGTCTGGGACCCCTCGGCGGATGTCCACTTGCCAGTGGGGAGCAGGCCTAAGCTGCAGTCGGACATCCTTAGTGCTGCTGAGGAGGCGGGAGAGCCTCCCGCCACCACCGCTGTGCTGGCAGCCGTCAGCCTGGCTTGTAGCTGAGCAGAGCTCCCCCTGTGGGAGTGCACTGACCACCAGGGGGCAGCTCCTGTATTGAGTGTCTGCCCCCTGGTGGTGTGTGTCATAGTGACCAGTCATTCCCAGTCGTTCTGCTGTTAGGAGGGTGAATTTGCATATTACCCTTTTATTATATAGAATAGAGGCCTGGTGCACGGGTGGGGGCCAGCTGGTTTGCCCTGAAGGGTGTCCCAGATCAGTGCGGGGGTCCCGCTGGGGTGCCTGGCCAGCCTGGCTGAGGGGCTGATGGCTGTTTGCAGGCTGGCCACAGCCCCTTCGGGGGGGGGGGGGGGGGGGCCCGCTGGAGTGCCTGGCCAGCCTGGGTGAGGGGCTGATCCCGGTGACCCAAGCTCCCAGCCTCTCCTTTTTTTCTTTTTCTTTTTTTTCAGTGTCTCCTTGAGCAGAGGCCAGGGCAGGCTGGAAGCAGGTATCTGGGATTTATTTATCTTCTATAATTGAAACTTTGTAGCCTTGAGTGGAGCCCAGGGCCGGCCAGGGCAGGCGGGAAGCTTGGCTTCCTCCATCCCGGGGCAACCCAAGCCTCTTGCTCACTCCAGCTCCGTGGCCACCGCCATCTTAGTTGGGTTAGTTTGCATACTCGCTCCTGATTGGCTGGTGGGAGTGGCTTGTGGGTGTAGCGGAGTGGCAGAGTGATGTTTAGTTTGCATCTTTCTCTTTTATTAGTGTAGATTACCCCCAGACCAAATTACGTTTTATAGTGCAGATGACTTTAAGGAACATGTTATCCTGGGCGGCCTAACCTAATCACATGAGGCCTCCAATATCCGAGTTTCCTCTGGCTGGTGCAGGAGGGAAGCCAGAGATTCACAGCACCAAACGGGTAAGTGCACCACTGCTGGTTTGAAGATGAAGCTCGTGTAGGAAGGGCCTGACAGTGACCTTTGGGAGCTGAGAGGGTCCCCTGACTGACAGCCAGCAAGATAAGGGGACCTCAGTCATAGAGCCATGACCTGGATTTTGCCCACAACCTGACTGAGCTCAGAAGTGGATTTTTGGACATGCAGGGTTGCTTAAGGGAGGCTTCTGAGAGCCAGGCAATGGTGATTCCTGAGCTGGGTGAGAGTTACATGGGAGGCTTGCTTTATGCTCATTCATGGAGGTAAACATTTACGTTTTAAGCACTTTTCTATAGTATCAATGTTGAATCAGAAAAAGTTTAAAAATTCAAATAACTTGTAAGAAATCACATTTTTTTAAATATATATTTTTATTGATTTTAGAGAGGAAGGGAGAGGGATAGAGAGTTAGAAACATCGATGCGAGAGAAACATCGATCAGCTGCCTCCTGCACACTCCCCACTGGGGATGGGCCCGCAACCAAGGTACATGCCCTTGACTGGAAGTGAACCCAGGACCCTTGAGTCCACAAGCTGACGCTCTATCCACTGAGCCAAACCGGCTAGGGCAGAAATCACATTTTTTTAAATATATATTTTTATTGATTTTAGAGAGGAAGGGAGAGGGATAGAGAGTTAGAAACATCGATGCGAGAGAAACATCGATCAGCTGCCTCCTGCACACTCCCCACTGGGGATGTGCCCGCAACCAAGGTACATGCCCTTGACTGGAAGTGAACCCAGGACCCTTGAGTCCACAAGCTGACGCTCTATCCACTGAGCCAAACTGGCCAGGGCAGAAATCACATTTTTAAGAGTAAAATTTTCATCAAGGAATGTATTTCACCCCACCTTTATTCCTACTCTCTTTTTCCCCCCTGATAATTTCTCACCTAAGCATACTTTTTTAAAAAGACAGTAGAATACCAGTTGGCCTTTCCAGTGATTGCCTCAAAGAAGTCATCTTTTTCATTCCTCAGAAATGCTCACAACACAACACAGTGATCAGAAACAATACCAAATAGAAGTGTAATTTCCTAAGGGGAAAACACATTTCTCTTGGCAAAGACTCTCAACAGCATTCCTGGAAACCAGCAGAATTCAGAGTCTCAAGCACCACAGTGAAGGAAATATCTAGAAGCAAGAGTAATGGAAACAAAAACACGAGAGACAGAGAATGATTTAGGAGAATCTTAATTGTTTACTTTTGTTTCATTACAAATCTAACTACAGGTGCTAAAGAAACTCACTGAAGAATCTAATATTCTTTTGTATTCTCTACTATCATCTGCAATATGTGTAATGGTCGAATATTACTGTAGGACTTCAACTCATGGTAGAGTGGCTCACAGTTTAAAATAGCTGAGGGAGGGCTGAAGTTGGAGATCAACAGGACTCTCTTCTCACAGGTCAAATGCCATCACTGAGTTCTCCAATTACACAGAATCCACAAAAGACGGCTGCCTTCTGCTTAGCCCAATTGCCCATCTTATGCCATTTTGTCTGAAAAAACGCCCACTCATCTTTCAGTCCAATTTCATTTATCTTCTCCTCCCTTACTTATCTCAGTAGAACTAATCTCTGCTTTCTTGGTACCACTCACGCCCTGTATCTGTGTTCATGACAGCCCTTACTGTCACATAGTAAAATTCTCCACCCTTCTCGCCCTACTCTGTGGGAAGTAACTTAAGGGCAGGGCTATCTTTCATGTAGTCTTCCCTCCAGTGCTCCTCTAGGTGCTGGGTCCATGGCAGGTATCAGTAAAGGTTGTAAAATGGGAAGGGACTGAGGAGGAGGTAGCTGGGCTGGTTGCTGTTTTTTTTGGGGCGGGGAGGGGAGGGCAGAGGGGTCTGGAGAAAAAGCCGCTGCCCTCTTTGAACGGATCACAATGGAGGCCAGAACTGGAGGCCGAAGCACCTGACTTTGGTAACCACACTGGCAGGGACGGGTGTAAAACAGGGACAAATCATTGCAGGCAAGAGGGAGGGCCTAGGAGCTACTGGTAAGACTAACCAAACATGAGGCACATAACCCACTGGTCAGTGCAGCAGAGGAAATGCAGAGGGACGCAAAGCCACATGAATGATAAAATAAGGGGTTTGGGAGAGTATGAATACTTTCTGAATAGAACTTCGGGCAGGAAACCAGGTTTCCTGCAGTTTGGTGGTATGTAGATTCCCTAGTAGAATGCCCCAATTTGTTTGGTTTTGCCATTATATCGCAGAGACAGGGCTATTGGTGCTGCCAAGGGAATTACTGAAGATGGGCAGTTTCATGGGTGAAGTCTGAAGGCAGGAAATCGGCCACAGGTGGCCACACATGAAGTCTAGAGGGGCAGAAGTCATCGTGTGAACCTGAGATGACAACATGGAAATAAAGGTCTATGTGCAAAAGACAAAAGAGTGAAAATCTAGAAAGAACCCACATCCCCGATGGCCCATTCAGATGTTAGTTACCTCTAGACTATCTACCTCTAGATTTCCTGGTGCCTGAGAAAGATAGGTTCCTGTTTAGGCCACTGTAATATAGCTTTCTGTTATCCATAGCTAAAATCAATCCTAGCCGATTATAGCAAGAAAAGAGGGGGCCTTTGAATTTCCTGGATCGTTCTGGTCATAGCACAGGGGTTGCTGCTGTTCTTAACCTCCTGTGAGATCCTGGTACTTGACTGGGGGAGAAGGGTGGCATCATGCTTTGTCTACACTCGGACTTCCCTGCGAGGAGGCAGAGGGAGGATCTGACTGAAAACGAGCCTTTCCAGGGGCGGCCCCTCCCAGCACATTTGACTGGTCACGAGGCTGGCAGATGTTGCTGAGTGCAGGGGAGTTAGGGAGCTGCAAGCCAAGCAGGACCGCGTGGTAGCAGAGGGATTGAGGACAGACTGTGGAATGGGACAGCCCTGAGACACGAGTGTCCCTCCCTCCAGCAGAGCTGCATCCAGACAGGTGCTCAGGCGGAGTGGCTGGCCCTCCGAGGGCACACACCGGAGAGCTGGGCTGAAGGTTAAGCAGGACCCAAGATGCCCAGAAACCCAGGGCAAGTCTTCTTCCAAGGGGAGCTCTTTGGTGTTCTTTATTTTTTTTCCAGATTGTTTTCCAAATGTGGCTTTTAGCAATGTGAGAACCAGACTTAAAAATGTAATTCTCCCATTCCAAATTTTTGCAGAACTTAGAGGAATGTTTGTTATCCACACAGTGTATTATATGTTTCTCCATAATCCAAGAGTTTGGCTATTATAACCATCCATTTAGTCTGTAAACAGATAATCTTATCTATGTGACAGTGTATGATTTTGAAAAAAATATAATTTTTTTAGAGTGGCAGATAATTTAAATATATAAAATTTTCTTTAGAAAAAAATTAGTAAAACCTCAAGTTATTTAATTCTAAAACAGGTG